CTTTCATATTCAATTAATTTTCTTTGTAATCTCACATTTTACTTTATGCATTCAAAATATCATTCTAAGAAGGTTTCTATAGGCTCTACCAAACTTCCAAAGAGGTTTATAGCACAAAAAAAGAAAGAAAAGAATTCCTGCCCTTAGGAGTTATTCTTCTTTGTAAGGTTGAATGTAGTTTACTACCATTTCTACATTCCAATCCAAGTGAATTTAAGAGCAGTTTCAAGGTAAGCCATTCCCTTAGGCAGAAGTTTCTAAATAAATCATTTAATTAAAACTCTGGTGCAATGGCTTACATCTATAGTTCCAGTTACCTGAGAGGATTCCTTAAGTCCAGGAGTTCAAGGCCAGCCTGGAGAACATAGTGAGACTTTTTTTAAATCTTTTTTCATTTTTCGTTTTATTTTTTTTGACCTGAAAATGAGTTTTAAGAGTTTTTTTTTTTTTAATCTTAAAAAAATAAAGTGCATACATTTCTGCTTGTGTGTCATTGTGAGAACTGAAATTTGGTAACATCTAGCTGCAAGGGAGGCTTGGGGAATGTAATCTCTGCTTACTTTGGAAGCGACTACATAAAAAGTAACTTTGTACCCAGTTAAAAATTACTCCAAAGAAGAGGAAACAGATTACAGGGGACAATCAAAAAAGAAAAACTAACCTTATTTACAATTTAAATGAATAATAGGCATTTTTTGGCAACCAACATAATTTCTTACTATAGACATGTTAATGATGTCATACACTTTTCTAAAACATGTTTTATAAGGTTAGAAGTTAGCAAGCCTCTTATGCTTGCTCTTGAAAGGCTAAAATAGCATCTAAGAGAGCCTTTGGTTTTGAAATGTGGGTAACATAGGGAGAGGATCTGTAATTTATTATAGAGTACATGATATAAAGCAATCTAGTCATTTGGGGCAAATCTTTCCGGAGCCTGACCAGTTGGAAAACAAAGTTCTTTGGCATACTAGGCTGTAAATCTCTTAAAGAGAAGACAACATAAAGCTCAGCTCCTTCTGTCACTGCTTCTTAGTACCTTTAAAAAAAAAAAAAAAAAGCTCAGCTCTTGATTAAACATACTTTTAGGTCATGAGATTGTGTTCTCCCTTTGCAAGTTTCTTTGGTGGTGACCATTTAAGGCTACTATATTGACGAACATCATTTGTACTTTATGATTGGTGCAAAGACTAAATACTTTTAGAAAAATCAGACAACCTTTACTTATCTGAAGGAGCCAGGGGAAAAAATCATCACAAGTACAGACAAAGACACATGACAAAGGGATCAGCAACTTACTCCCAAATACAGGTACAGCTTCCTAGAATTAAACCCTGCTGGACATTAAGCCAAGCCTTCCTTAGGCTGTATAGGAGTGAGGTCTCTATTAGACTTTCTGGCAACAAAGCCCTAGGGTTTGTTTTTGCTTGATGACCTGTGTGGTTAGGTGCTAGAAAAACCCTTATTTGAGCCAGGTGCACCATTCGATGCTCTAGGAGCTGCTCCAGTGAGGTATATGTATTAATTCATGTAACTATCTCAAAAATCCTATTAGGTTACTGTTATCCTTATGTTACAGATGGGAAAACTGAGCAAAGGGTGTTTTTCCTGCCAAGGTTGTAATGTGCAGCAAAGCTGAGATACAAACCTCAAGAGCAAAGGACTAACCACCTCTGCCCTTTCTCATTCTTTAATCTAGGGGTCCTCAAACTTTTTAAACAGGGGGCCAGTTCACTGGCCCTCACACCGTTGGAGGGCTGGACTATAGTTTAAAAAAAAACTATGAACAAATTCCTATGCACACATCTTATTTTGAAGTAAAAAAAACAAATGGGCAAGGCCGGGCGAGGTGGCTCACGCCTGTAATCCTAGCACTCTAGGAGGCCGAGGCGGGCGATTGCTCAAGGTCAGGAGTTCGAAACCAACCTGAGCAAGAGCGAGACCCCGTCTCTACTATAAATAGAAACAATTAATTGTCCTACTAATAATTTATAGAAAAAATTAGCCGGCATGGTGGCGCATGCCTGTAGTCCCAGCTACTTGGGAGGCTGAGGCAGGAGGATTGCTTGAGCCCAGGAGTTTGAGGTTGCTGTAAGCTAGGCTGACGCCATGGCACTCACTCTAGCCTGGGCAACAAAGTGAGACTCTGTCTCAAAAAAAAAAACAAATGGGCAAAAAACACCCGCATGTGGCCCACGGGCTGTAGTTTGAGGATGCCTGCCTTAATCACTCGGACAGTAATTCCTTATTTATTTCCTCCTATAAAAACCCTGGTTCTATTTCCTTTTCTTTGAGAAGATTCTTCTGCATTAGTAGATGTTCTTCTTACTGTGATAGCCTGGAAAAAAATGATCTCTTTATACATCTCATGAGCTTAGCAATGTTCCTGGCTTGACATCAGTGACTCCATCTTGAACTGCTGATGAACTTTGAGACCCACAAAGAAACTGTGAAAAACATTTCCTTCATAAACAACTATTTTCTTGACATACACAGTCCAAGAAAATTGATCCTAATCTTTACGAATATTCTGTGTATAGTTTTTTTCTTCCTGACACAAATGTACCCTTCTACTAATGATTAAATATTTCTTTGTTTAATTCACTGATGAAATAATCTAACAATTTATGTAATCTAAATAAATTCTTATAAATGTAAGCTCCCTTACCTTTCTTGAGTGGTACTGTCTCTGGCTGCTATCCAAGTTGCAACCTTCATTCCTGAGCAAACACTTACGTCAACCTTAATAATAAGATCCAGGCAATATGACTAAATGTTTTTATTCAAGCTCAAAGTTTGAGGATAGGCACCCAGAGGACACAGATTCAGAAAGATAGGGTGAGTGTCTGGGACGCTTAACAGGATGTCAACATTTTCCATACAAGTGTAACTGTGGAACTAATCCAATCTGATTCAACTTTTTCAGCAACAAAATGACGAGTTGTTTTCAGCTACCAGGGACCTTCGAACTGAGCTTGCCCAGGTGAACCAAGTGCGCCTAATTTGTGACCCCAGAGCCAGCCAGAAGGAAAAAGCCAACCATAGGTTGGACTTAAGTGCTCAGATCTAGCAATGGCACTAAATTAAAAAGCAAGCCCGCATATCACCTCATTGCATGATCCAATGAAGATTATTACCCAATCAGCATTATCTTTCTGCAAGATCCATCAGTTTGCACCTCCAAATCCTCTGCCTATAAAACCTGCCCCCACACCACTGGGGATGGGGGTGTGTGATTTGAGCAGTGGCTTCCTGTTTCCTTGCCAGTCTACTTGCAATAACGCTTTTCCTTTTCTCAAAGGCTGGTGCCACGGTACTGGCTTCTAGGCAGCAAGTTCTTGCTTCGTAACGCAAGGTTAGTGCGTAGTTGCAACAATTTGATTAGATATAGGCAGTGTTTTCTTTTTTGGGAAGGGTGTATTTAACAGACCACATTAAGCCTGTAATAGTCAAAAGGGTCTTTTACTTCTGTCAAGGGGTCTTTTATTTCAGATGCCATCTAGTCTGAGCAGGGACCAAGAAAATAAGGGTAAACGTTAATCTATCACAAAAGGGCAGTAATTAAATGATGCTCTGTGACTTGAAGCCCAAAGTTAACAACCTTCCTCAGGACCTAACGACTTTTAGAAGCTCTAAATAGACAGACTATCCATTTCCTTTCGCACTTATTATCATCGAAAGTTCATCACTTGTCCACTAGGCCACATCAGAAGAACGAGGACACATGGTTTGAGGAGGAGGAGGAGGAGGAAAGAAAAGTCTACTAGTTTGCCAGCAAATGAGGAGAGTCCCCTCTCAAAATACCAACGTTCAGACTCATCCCATCTGAGCTAAAACAATCTCGTGACCTCTCCCCCTGGACATTTCCATTGAACTATCTCAAGTGGCACAAAGGATACTCCCCTGTCCCTCCCTACCATTGGTCTGAGGCCGGGATGTAGGTTTTAGTTCTCAAAAAGGGCGAGGAGGTTTTGAAGAGACAGAAAACATTTTTACCCTTTTCCAGGCCATTTTCTCTCCTACCTTATTTGCCTCTGACCTGTTGATTCCTCTCTTTTTTTTAGGGTTAACAGTCTCTTGGGTGCCCTTTGTCTTTCCAGGGCTTGGTAGAGAAAGTTGGCCAACCCTTGCACAGGATAATTGGTTCGGGGACCAGCAAGCAACAGCCAGTCTCAGAAACTGATTCGAAATGCAAATTTTTCAGCCCCACCCAGACCTACTGAATCTGAAATTTTGCTGGCTGTGCTTTTCAAGTCCTTTCTAACAAACCCTCCGGGCGATTGGGATGCAAACCCCAATCTTGAGTAATTCAGGTGAAAGGTAGAGCTCGGGAAGTTTTCCCCAGCAAACCAGTGAAAGAAAGCTCTGCAAAGCCCCCGGCACGCTGCGATCCGGGTGGCACTAGGACCGCGGCGGGGCGGAGCCGGCAGCCGCCGCCGCGGGCCCGGGGCGGAGCCAGCTGCCCCGCGGAGCCCGGGCGTCCCCGCTGGACCCGCCCCTAGAGGCGGACCCCACTTGACTTAAACTCCGGGGCCCGAGAGGCCCGCGCCGTCCTCACGGCTCGCCGGGGTTGTCCACTGCCCCCGTAGGTAAGTGCGAGCCCAGGTGCCCGCGCGGCCGCTCGCTCGCCCGCTGGGGCCCCGGCCGCGCGGGGGGCGCCGGGAGCCTGAGGCGCCGCGGGCTGGGCCGGGCGCGCGGCGGGGGACGCTTTTGTTCTGCGACGGGCTCGGCGTCGCGCGCGGCCAGCGGCCCGGAGCCCCCGGGCCTCGCAGGCTCTCGCTCCCGGACGCCCGCCCGCCGCCTTGAGCTCGGCGGGGCGTTGGCGCTCCCCGCTCCGGCCGCGGCCCCGGGGCCCGCCCTGGCCCTCGGCCCGGAGGAGGGCGGCGCCTCGCGGGCTGTGCTCCGTGAATCGCCTCCCTCTCCGCGCTAGAGGTCGCGGGTGGCCGGGCGGCGACGCGTTTTGTTCAGCTGCGAGGCGGTTGGTCAGGCGGGCGGGTGTGAGAGCTGCTTGTGTTTTTAGTGCTTTCGTGTACTCTGGAGTGGAAAAGGAAATCTTCGTTTCGCTTTTCCTATTTCCTCACCGGTGCCCTCCTCCCTGTGGAGCCGAAGCCTCCTGGAGCAGCGCTGGCCCGCGGACGCTTCCGCGCCGGAGATGCTTTCTTGTTCCTCAGCAGTACTTAGTTCCTGGAGGCATCCTTAAGTGCGCAGATACAGACCGACCTTAGGCCTTCTCCAGGGACGAAGACTCCCTCAGCGAGCGTCCTTAGGGTCCCGAGTGTAGCGGCAAGCTTTCCGGGAATCATTTCCGTGAAAACAATTGATTTGTAACACTTTGCCTTCTAAAGAAAGAAAAGCGGAGGGGCGAGGTGTGGGGGATGTGCACGAGCTTGAGGTGCATGTGACAGGCGGGCTGCAAAAGCTGCTTCGGCGGTTGCATTTCTCTGCTGAATGTATTAGCAGGTTTATGCATTGGTAACGTGCGCGTATGTTAAGGTTTTAGTTACTGTTTATTTCCCACTGTACAGTCGGATTCTCGTTTACTAATCCAATAAAGAAAATTGCTAAGACCGGTAAAGAAATTGCTATTTGTTTTGAAATGCTAGGACAAAAGTTGACCTGGAGGGGAGCGCACATGAATTCTTAAACTTAAGTGAAATGGTATTTTGAAGCCAGACTTACTTTCTGTTAATGAGCACACTTAATAAGAGTTCAGTAAACTTAGTATGCTTTTGCACAGCAGTGTCATAGCAAATAAACACAATAGCATGTGCTTTTTATTAATTATAAAACGTTTCTTGCTGTCCTTAGGACCAAGGAAGTGAACGCTCAATGTGGAGGGGGACTGACATATTTGGAGGGAAATGGGAACATATACAGTAATTAAAGAGTGAAATCATATTTGACGGTGAGTATGTCACTTCTAAGCAGCCTACCCTGATTTAACCAGGCAATTATACACACTCAATTATGGAGTAATTTGTCTATTATGGAATAAAATTATTAGTGAGCCAGCAGTGGTTTTTCGCTGCAAAGCTTGAGAAGAAATAATGTTGTCTATAGTAGTGAGAATGCAGTTGTTAATCGTAGCAAAATAAGGAAGAGGTGATTTATGGTAAGGTGACTGGTGGAAGTTACCCAGGCAGAGGTTTACTTATTGTCTATTTGCTCTGTTTCTTATTTGATTGTTTTTATTTATTGTTGTTTCTGGCACGTGGGGTGAGGGGTTGTGGTGATCATCTCCATCATCCTGTAGCCACAAAACTTGTGTTAGGATGCTTCCTCTAGTGATTGAGATTATGGTTCCCATAATCACACTTCTTTGGTTCAGATCTTGGCTCTACCACTCAGTATCTACACAACCTTAGAAAAATTAACCATTCTACTTCAGCTTCCTCATCTGTTAAATGGAGATAACAGTAGTGCTTACCTCAGGTAGGATAGTTGTGATAAGTTATGTGAGTTTCATATATAACACACTTAGAACAGCTCCTGGCACATGGTAAGTGCTCAATAAATTTTTAACTATTACTATCTTAGAATTTTATGGCCTAAGTAATACAACTGTATATCCTACAGAAAATTCAGTTTGCAAATTTAAACTCTAAATAAATTCATGAGCTTTCTGGTGATTAAACCCATCACTGTAGATTCTCTATGTTCTCTTTATTATAGGTTCTCTTTTTCTTAGGACATACTAGTCACTACTACTGGTCTATATCTGGTTTTACCTGCAAGTTTGTTTGAAATAAAGTCTCCATTAAATTCTCTAGCCTGGGCAAACTTGCCCTAGAGCTTTGTTTTTCCATATTATCTCTGTGATTGTATAAGAATCTCTTTTCCCTTGTAGATTATCAGTGTCTTGGGACACTGTAGGAGCTCAAATGTTTAGGGAATTGATCTAACATTGTTTAGAAAGGTGCATTTCAGGAATCTTTGTTTTGTCTGATCAGGTGTCCCTCCCTCCCCCTTTGGAGGCTTATACTCTATTATGTAAAACAGCCATGGAAAGTATCTGATAAAGCCAGCCAACTTGCATTTCTATAGCCTACCCTGCCTATAGAAATGCAAGTTAAGTTTTTCCTTGAAAGAAGCTTTGTAAAGAAAGAAGTAATCTTGTGGACCTTGAGAAATTTAACATGCTTTGTTCAGAGGCAACAATGTGATGCTTATACTATTCTTGATAATTTAACTGTACTTGTGAAGGAAGAGCAAAGTTGGAGGTGGCCTGGTCAGATCTCAAGTGAGATTACAACTGTATGTTGTCTGCTTGTGATTATAACGGTTGCAGAGATTTAATGACAGTACCTTAGATTCTCTTGAGATGGATCAAATTACTAGACTTCATTTGTACACAGTCTTAACTTATGATTAAAATTACAAGGTGTATTAAAAGAAGTTGTATTGTCCAATTAAGTTTTTTTCTCTTTCTGATTAAGTTTTCAAGAACAGAAACCATAAACAGATTATCGTTTTTTAAGCCCCAAGGGAGAATTTTTATATCACATAATTTTAAAGTTCATGTAGCATGACCTTTGGGTTTGGATGGATCCAGGATCTGAATCTGAAAGAAAGTTTTAAAGACTTGGCACTGTCTTTGAGCTCTGCTGTCCTCTCTGCCTTGGTTCTCAGGCAGACCTCCCTCCATTGGGAGGCCCTGACATCTACACATTTAATATCTATCCAGCTTCAAGTTGCACAGAGCATTCCTTTTTTCTGATTGCTCTACCAAAAATATGATAACTACATTTCATTAAGTCTCATTGGTTCATGTGCCCGAGTCTGTTAATAATAGGAAAGTGCCATTTTTTTAAACTACCACTCAGAGATATAATTCATATAACATTTATATGTAGTATATAGTTTCAGTGGTTTTTAGTTTGTTCAAAGTTGTGTAACCATCACCACTATCAATTTAAGGACATTTTCCTTTTCTTTTTTTTTTTTTGAGACACAGTCTTACTCTGTTGCCCAGGCTTCAGTGCCATGGCATCCGTCTAGCATGGTGGTTAAGAGCACAAGCAGGTCCAGGTAAGAAAGAAAAATCAACATCTTGTCCTTGGATTGGCTATCCTTATAGTTAAGCAAGTTTATTTAATGAGTCTCCAAGTCCTGCTAATAGCTTGTCCTTGAGCATTTTCAGATGTTAACAATTGCCTTAGCTCTGCCTCCATTATTACTTGCTTGGATTCCCATAATATCCTCCAACTTGGGGTCATCCTGTCTTCAGTCCTGCCTCCCTCTAAACTATTTGCTACCTGCAACATAAAACATTTTTCTTTTTCTTTTTTTTCTTTTTGAGACAGAGTCTCATTCTGTTGCCCCAGCTAGAATGCCATGGTGTCTGCCTAGCTCACAGCAACCTCAAACTCCTGAGCTCAAGCGATCCCCCTGCCTCAGCCTCTTGAGTAGCTGGGACTACAGGCATGTCCCACCATGCCTGGCTAATTTTTTCTATATATATTTTTAGTTGGCCAATTAATTTCTTTCTATTTATAGTAGAGATGGGGTTTCACTCTTGCTCAGACTGGTTTGGAACTCCTGACCTTGAGCGATCTGCCCACCTTGGCCTCCCAGAGTGCTAGGATTACAGGCTTGAGCCACCACACCTGGCCAATGACATTTTCTTGACCCCAGAAAGAATCTCAGTACTCAGTAGTAGTAGCTTCCCCCATTATTCCTCAACATACTCATCCCTAGGTCACCATTAATCTGATTTATACCTCTATAGATTTGCATATTCTGAACATTTCATATAATTGAAATCATTCAGTATGTGGCCCTCTGACTTTCACCCAGGATGTTTTAGAGTTTCATTTATGTTGAAGCATATGTGTACTTCATTCCTTTTTATTGCCAAATATTCTATTTTGTGTATATGACACCTTTGTTTATTCTTTCATTAGTTAATAGGCCTTAGAGTTGTTTTCCCTTTTTGGCTACTATGAGTGCTGCTGTGATCATTGCTATACAAGTGTTTATATAGACGTGTTTTTAATTCTCTTTGAGTAAATACCCAGGAGTGGAATTCAGTGGTTGTGGTGACTTTATCCTTTCGAGAAACCACCAGACTGTAGTCGAAAGTAGATGTACAATTTTATGCAGCAATGTATGAGAGTTCTAATGTGTCCACATTGATACTAACCCTTTTTTTTTTTTTTTTTTTGGTGAGACAGAATCTTGCTTTGTTGCCCAGGCTAGAGTGAGTGCCCTGTGGTCAGCCTAGCTCACAGCAACCTCAAACTCCTGGGCTCAAGCAATCCTGCTCCCTCCGCCTCCCAAGTAGCTGGGACTACAGGCATGCACCACCATGCCCGGCTAATTTTTTCTATATATTTTAGTTGGCCAATTAATTTCTTTCTATGTATAGTAGAGACGGGGTCTTGCTCAGGCTGGTTTCCAACTCCTGACCTTGAGCAATCCGCCCATCTCATCCTCCCAGAGTGCTAGGATTACAGGCGTGAGCCACCACGCCCGGCCTGGAATTTTTGATAAGGGGTGCATTGACTCTGTTGATCAGTTTGGGCAATATTGCCACCTTAATAACGTCTTCCAATTCATGAATGTGGGATTGTTTCCTGGTCCTGGAGCCTTTAAAATAACCTATTCCTTAAAGAATTATCTCCCCATCGATCACCATGACTTCAAGAATGGTAGCCCCTTCCACCATCCTTTCACGAATAATTTTTCGGAGCCGGACTTTGTGAGAGGTGGAAAGTGCAGGTCCCACGTCAGGCCTTCTTCCCTCTAGCTGCTTATCCTCAGAACTGAGAAGTGCGCATGTGCGAGACGGGTGATAATAAGTGTTTCCATTTATTTAGATTCTTAATTTTTTTTTTTTTTTTTGCAATATTTTGTAATACTCAGTGTATAGGTTTCTCACTTTTGGTAAATTTACTCTGAAGTTTTTATTCATTTTGATGTTACTAATTTTCTAGATTAAATATTGTATAGAAATACAAGTTGTTTTTGTATATTGACCTTGTACTCTGCAACCTAACCAAACTAGTTTATTAGTTTTTAGTGGATTCCTTATGATTTTTTATATATAAGATTATGTCATCTGCAGATAGGGATTGTTTTACTTCATTTCCAGTCTGGATGTCTTATTTAATTTAATTTAATTTAATTTTTTTTTTGCCTAACTGCCATGGCAAAAAGTATAATGTTGAATAGAAGTGGGGAGAGTGGACATCCTTGTCTCCTTCCTGATCTCATAGAGGGAAAACATTCAGTCTTCCACCTTTAAGTGGACTGTTAGCTTTGGATTTTTATTTTATTTTTTCTCTAGACTTGTTTTGATGACAAAGCTGTGGATTTTTTTCTAGATGCCTTTAATCAAGTTGAGGAAGTTCCCTTCTACTGATAGTTTAAATGTTTCTATCATCATGCTTATTTTACATGAATTCCTGGGATAAATCCCACTTGGTCATGGCATGTAATTATTTTAATATACTGTTGGATTTTGTTTGCTAGTGTTTTCTTGAGGATTTTTGTGTCTATATTCATAAGAGATTAGTCCATGGTTTCATTGCAGTTTTGTGTTTTGGTATTAGGGTAATATTGCCCTCATAGAATTCAGTTGGGTAGTGTTCCCTCATCTCCTAGTTTTGGAATTGTTTGTATAGAATTGGTTTTATTTTATTTTTTTGAGGCAAAGTCTCACTTTTGGTTCTGGTAGAGTGGGGAGCTGCTCCATTTCGGCCATTTGCTTAGCTCAACGCTCTCTCGAGCAGGAATATTCAATGTCACTGGACACATCAGCGTACAATACGTGCTCAAGGTAGCCTCCTCCGAAAGAGCTTGGCATAAAAGTATGCGCATGTGCCCACATGGCTCTGGGCTAATTTTTTTCATTAACACATGCTTATTTAATGTATAGTTTTTTTTTAGTTGGCGTCAATTATT